CCCACCCCAGACAGCCCAGTCCCTCCTTGCTGTCCTCATGGTCAAGGATGGAGTTGTGTCTGTTTTGGCAGCTGCTCGATATTTCTGAGTTGGGTTCGGTTGGCGCTGGCCGGGAGTCAAAGAGAAGAAGAAAGACTGTAGGTGCGTGCAGGGCAGCCCCCCCGCCTGCCAAGGGGCCTCTGCCTGGGCTCTCCAGGGGGCGGGAAGCCAACTGGGGCCCCAAGCCCAAAGCTTCGGCAGTACAGGGCTGCTGTGCCGATTTGGGGCCCCCACTTACAGGCTTTTTGTTTTCAACAAGAAAAGATTAACAGAAGGGAGGTTACCCGCTGGGTCCGAGGAGCCCTTTTCTGCTCACGCTGGCTGCAGCATTTTGGCACCATCTTCACTGACCTGAATGGACAAACCATGTTGCCCCAGCCAAGGGGGTCTGGCAGGGTTTGGATGTGTTGAGTGTGGGTGGGCCTTTGGGACCCCTGAGGAGGACCCTTCTGTGTCCATAGATGCAGAGGTGGTGGAAAAGCCAGCCAAGGAGGAGACGGTTGCAGAGAATGTCACCCCGGACTATGCGGCCGGCCTGGTGTCCACGCAGGTAGGCCCATCAGCACGGCCCTGCTTAGAAGTCTTGTACCGATGGCTGAGTGTTTCCCATCTGAGAATATAGACGTGTGTGTGTGCATGTTTATAGATGTGTGTATGTTTGTGTGTGTGTCCATGTATGTATGTGTCTGTGTATGAAAGACCACGCAGAGCCGTGACTTGACGTGAACGTAGCACAGGTGCCGGCTTCAGGGCCTTGGTTCCCATCAGGAACCGGCGGGCAGCATCCTGTGGGGAGACTGTACAGCCTGTGGGCACTGGGCCTGGGAGGGGTGGCACCCATGGAACCTCAGGAAGCAGGCCACGGGCGACATGTGGAGTTGATTCTCAGCCCACCCTGGTCAGGCCTGATTCTGGTGTTCTTAAAATGAACCTGTCCTCCATTTGTCCTGTGGTTCCCTGAAGCCGAAGCAGCCCAGCCGCCATCTCCTAGCTGGGGTTGTTCCTGGTGTTGACCAGGGCAGGGCTGGGGCCCATGCCGAGCCCGAGGGCCTCACAGGCCTGCTGCCTGGATGGAGGGTGGCATGCACACAGGGCAGGGCGTGCCGAAGCCCTGTCTCCGCCCTGAGGGACCAGCACCCTGTCTTTCAGAAACTTGGGTCCCTGAACAATGAGCCAGCGCTGCCCTCCACCAGCTATCTGCCTGCCACCCCCAGCGTGGTTCCAGCATCCTCCTACATACCCAGCTCCGAGGCACCTCCAGGTGAGCCATCGGGAGACCCTGCCCCCTGCTACCCCACCCGAAGCTACCAGGGGGAAGGCCCAGCCTCAGGTCCTAGGTGCTTCTGGCTGGAGAAGAGCCCGCGTTCCACTTAGGACTGTCCTCCCAGACCCCCCAGACGTGCTGTGTGGGGCCAGCGGGCTTCCTATGGGGGCTCACCCTCAGCCCCTGCTTACTTTGCTGGCAGCTGGTTAACCTAGTTCTGCCTTCCTGGCACTGGGGCACAACAGTGGACTCTCCACTTGGCAGTAGGTGAATAGGAGGACCCCACAGGAGGGGAGGCTGGCTCTCAGGGCCCCGTATTATGGAGGGAGACAGAGGCAGAGTTGGCTCCACCCGCACAGTACTTGCCAGTGCGCAGCATGGCTGAGGGACATTGTCCTGTCTTCTTGCCTGGAGGTAGGAAGTTCATGGACCCCAGGGACACACCCTCAGCCCAGCCATGGCCCTGGGAGAGGAGTGCAGGAATAAGCACAGACCTTCTGGGAAACTGAAGGGCTGGGGCAGGCTCCGCAGTCCCATGACCACCAGCTCTGCTCTCTCTCGGTGGCTCGAATCTGACCTGCTGGCATCTCCATGGGGGCACACAGCCCTGAAGGGGGGCATTGGGGCATGGGATGTGGTGGGAGAGGCTCTGCCTCAGGAGTGGTAACCACTGGTAGCCAGCTTCCTAGAAGCATCCCTCACCTCAACCCGGCTTGGACCTGCCAGCCACAGGTCTCACCATGCTGACTCTATTCACAGCACCGTCTTCCCGGGAAGCCAGTCTGCAGGCCAGCCGGCCCCCTGAGGAGCCTAGCACCCCGAACCCCACGCTTCCGGCCCAGTTCAAGCAGAGGGCACCCATGTACAACAGCAGCCTGAGCCCAGCCACAGCTACGCCCACACCCGTGTCTGCCACCCCCACCCTGCCCCTGACACCCACCACGCCTCCAGCCATCGCCCCTGCAGCCCAGACACCCCCAGTGGCCATGGTGGCCCCGCAGACCCAGCCCCCATCCCAGCAGCAGTACCGGAAGAAATTGTCCCTCTCGGTAGGTCACTCGGCCTCCACTGTCTGTACCTCCTGTCTCCCCCTATCTGGGCTTCCCAGGGAAGGTCCATGAGGACCCTCACAAGGCCTGCATCCTGCCCACAGGCGGAACAGATGTGTGCGGCTCAAGAGATGTTCAAGACGGCCAACAAAGTCACGCGGCCCGAGAAGGCGCTAATCCTGGGCTTCATGGCAGGCTCCCGAGGTATATCCCTAGTGGGTGGGGGGTGGGGCCTGGGGACAGCTCTGGGCATCGGGGGTGGCGTGGCTAGCCCAGCAACCCTTCCTCTGCAGAGAACCCATGCCAGGAGCAGGGGGACGTGATCCAGATCAAGCTAAGCGAGCATACGGAGGACCTACCCAAGGCAGATGGCCAGGGCAGCACCACCATGCTGGTGGACACGGTGTTCGAGATGAACTACGCCACAGGCCAGTGGACGCGCTTCAAGAAGTACAAACCCATGACCAATGTGGCCTAGCTGCCTCGGGGCTCCAAGGAACAATGGCCTTACTGGCTTGGCTGAGCACATGAGTCCCCACCAGCCTCCAGGGCCTGTGGCCAAGCCCCTGCCTGTTTGTTCTCAATTTCTCTGGGGTATTCTGGGTTTCTTTTAAAATTTTTAATATGTTATTTTTTGTGATTCGAGACATTTTTTTGGATTCATATTTTTGAACATGAACCAAAAGTTGTAACTTCCTGATAGTAATGACAGCGCCGCCTGTTTGCCTTGTACCTTTTCATTTTCTCTTGGAAGAATTCCACTGACCAGAAGTGGGGGCTTGTGCCTGCTTGTGCGACACCCTCCTGCCAGGTTGAGGGGACCAAAGGTGGGGCCTGGGGCTGCTGGGGACAGAGTGGGGCCTCTAGGCCATCCACCACCTGCACCCACCAGTTTTATATTTTTGTATAGTTGTGAGCATTTCAGAATGGGTGTTTGGTCCTATTTTCATTGTAAAACAAACCTGATTAAAATTGAGCTTTTCAAAGAACAGCTGGACTTGGTCTCTGGCCAGCCCCCCAGCACCACCTCTTGCACACCCAGTTCTGTCCTGGTGACCAGGCTGGGCCCAGCACCTGTTGATTCGGGCAGTGGCTGATTGCTGGACTCTTGTGCCTATCTTATCCACTGAGGGGCAGAGGACCTAGAAAGAGATGGTCCCTCCTCTTGGGATCATTTCACCTTGGTCATAATTGGAACAAGATTTAACTTCAAAAAAGGGTATTTTCAAAGTAACACAGACCTCTGCGTCTCACCGTGTCCAAAGGCAGAGGGACGCCATCCCAAAGCCTCGGTCATCCACAACCCCCTGGGGCAAGAAACTGAGAAAGTTCCACACAGCCACACACCTCACATACAAATAAGTTTAAGAAAACAGCCTTTAAAATTTTTTTAATACAAAAATACTCATACACCATTTTGCAAACACAACTTTTCACTTTAAATGCTATTTTTCCCCAACTGGCAATTCTCAAATCTACATTTCAGTATGTTCCCCCCTCCCCCACAAAAGTGAACTTCAAGTTTTTTTAAATCTAACTATCAAGACTGATGACAGCACCGGTATTCCTAAAAGGTGCATCGCCTGGCCTTACATTGTAGGGGACATGGCGTCACCAACAGGCACACTGAAATTTATACTGAATCTGACGGGCAGTTTAGAGCTCAACAGTGCGGGGTCCACGACGTCCAGTGGGCCCTCTCCTCACGGCAGGAGGCCATTCACTGAGGGCGCCTCGCAGGGGCTCTCAGGGCCAAGGGTGCTGGGCAACTAACAGTCTAACGTTATTAACTGTAATGGAACAGGCTTAAGTCCTCAAAACCAGGTAGTTCTGGAAGGTGAGTGACGTACACATGGTAGTTTAGACACCAAAATAAATACTGCGGAGTTGTCCAAGTGCAAACCTGAGTATGTGTACAGAGCCCCGCTGGAGTGGGCTGCACGGAAACGGTCTGGCTCAGGGTCTGGGATCCCCTGGGAGGCTGGGAACAGCTCACTTCTCACCAAGGGCTTTTTGGTGCCAGACACATGGGCTCCCCACCAACTGGCATGTTTAGAATGGCAGACATACATCTCTGGCCTGTAGTGTCTCAGAGGTACCACAGTAGTAAAGAGGTCCAGGGCTGGTGTGGGGAGAAATGACAGTGTGCGTGTGGGTTTCTGACGTTAGTTACCAGGCTTGCTGCACAGGAGCGTGAGTGAGTATATGCACTTAATGCTGATTCTGAGGCCATAGCTCTAACGTGTCCGAGCAGTTTCAATTTTACTTTTGCTTCACAGTAATGACAGGATTGAAGCTTACATTCACAAAGTCACCAGATCCTCAACAAATTCTCCCACACACCTAGAGCAGAGCCTGACAGGCCAGCTGAGCAAGAGCCACACCAACCAACAGTGGGCAGCTCCAAGTCGTTTCTACTCAAATTTTATAAATTAGGCTCCTCAACATTTTTCAATTAGTGTTATTTTCTCATTAGGTTTTAGAGATGGGAACCACGTATCTAAAATAATGTTTGCAGTATTTCTTTCAGAAAGATCATAAAAGAAGAAATTTGGAAATATATCCGTGAGTCCAAACTCACAAGATTTTTACTAACGTCAAATACAGTCTAAGTGTACTGCAAACCAACGCAGCATTCCTTGACCTGGGAGGAAAAGAGCTCGTGGACAAGTACAAACCCCAGCTTACATGTTAGAAGTTTTCACTGTGGTACAGGCTCCACCTCTGGCCGCCTCAGGTGCCACCTAGGCACTGTGCCTGTTCAGACCCCTTATCTGCTTGTACATCTGGCACACACACCTTCTGCCAAGTGGTGTCATGTTCTCCTAGACCCTTTGAGAAAGGACCGAGTTCTGAGAGACCAGCACACTTCACAGAACTATGTGAGGATGTTTCCACAGGGATATAGCCTACACCTTTAGAAGGGAACTGGGTTTTCCGAGTTTTTTTGTTCTTCTTGGTCCTGCGTATGGTTACTTCTCACACCAGTCAGGCAGCACAGCTGAGTCAGTGCGTAAGGAAGAAGCTGGTCCCAGATGCCAGGGCTCCCCGTTCCCCAGGGACCCAAACAATGGACACAGATTCTCCCACGAGGCCACAGGGCCTATGAGGTCCACCGCTTTCCAGAGAAGGGGGGTCATAAAACCAGAGAATGAGCTGTATCAAGAGTCTTAAGCCCAACGGATTTACTACAATTTTACAAGATACAATAAGGAGAGAGAAATGGACCCAAAACCTCAGTAGATGTTCTCAGAATGGCTACTAAAGAGAGTTGTGTAAACTTTTCAGCAAAACAGGTTCTCCATAGGTTACTGTCAGAAGAAAAAGCTGGAAAAACAGCACCTGCTTCTGAGTGTGACTCCCACTCCCTGCCCACCCCCCTCATGGAGGCAGGGGGCTCAGCTGAGGGGCAAAGGCATATGCTGGTCCCCACCTTCCTCAGGATATTCCACACTTCCCAGGGCCAGTAGGAACCCTGAATAAAGAATCAAGTCTTTCCCAGAAACTCAGATATCTCAGATATGTCACTGCATGGGGCTGGGAAATCCAGATCACTGAAATCTCACACGGAAGTAAGTGTCAGCTGAGCCCCGCTGGGGAGCAGACACCCACATGTGCCCGCCAGCAGGTGGCGCCCGGGTTGAGCGTCTGGGAAATCAGTACAAGTCCAGTTTTTCACAAGCGGACCCTTGAGGGTTCCATGAGCTGGAACAGCGTTACATGTCAGTAACTCCCGTCAAGCTCTGAAAAGACAGTTTTTCAGGAGTGCCTGTTTCCCTGGGCACCCCCCCAGGGAGGCAGACAATGCAGGCCTGACCCAGACCAGCCCCATCCTATCTCCTAAAATGCCCACAGAGCTGAACACAATCCGCCAAAGCCAGTTTTCATTGACTCCAAACATCAATGCTGCTGGAGGCACAGGGCCACCTCAGGAAACACACGGCTCAGTCGGTGATGGCTTGTGACATGAGTCCAACAAAATATATTAAGATAAAAGCTGGAGAGCAGTAAAGAGAAGCCAAGTGGAGAGAAGATAACAACGTATTTCCCCAAAATGTTGATTAGGAGCTAGTGCCTTCAGAAGTTCCCATCCTTGGAAGAGAAGGCGAGGGGCAGATTCCGGCAGCCACCCCGCCCACCCCCACCCCCACTCACCTCACCGAGCCCCAGGCCAGCTGCTTGCTAGGATGGAAGGGAAGCATTTTGAGGGAAAACTTCACATTAGTACAAAAATCTCACACAGTTGTTTCCAGATACACAAAATGATTTAAAACCATGGTTTCCAAGGACGCAAGGGCCAAGGTCAGAGGTCTCACCTTGTCTCATCTGAGTGAGGAGGGTGACACTCTACAGGAGCCGAAGAACCTTCTCCTGATTAAAGAGTTAAAGCAATGCTTTAGAAAAACTACTACGCTATACGTTTCAGGTGAGATAAAACAATTTCATATACCAGTTCATTTTCAATCATAACTTTAACCTAGAGAAATAAAGCGGGAGGGAACCCTGACTTTCTTCGATTCAAGTGTGGCTGTGGAGCTGTGGAGTAAGGCCGGTTTGTCTGAACGTTCTGAACTGTGTGGCTCACAGTGGTCATCAGTGCAGACGCAGCAGATGCTGCTGAGGTGGCTCAGTGGTGAGGAAGGCGCTCCCTCCCGAGGGCCTGTCCATCTGTTGTGGGGGCAGGGCTGGGTCCTGCAGCCAGCCCTTTACCCAAAAGGCTGACCGCCCCACGCAGCCCTGGATCTGGCCAAGCCACCAGGCGCTATTTGCCTTCAGTGACTCTGCGCCAACCCCGCCTCCTCTTCCTCTTCCCTTTCCACCTCATTGGTTCTGGGCAGGGTTTGTCCGTCTTGGTGCCTCTGACTGACTCAGCCCCCCCATCGTGCTCCGAGCAGTAGAGCCGTCCGTCCTGTGTGGAGCTGAAGGCTGTCCCATCATGGTGGTCCTTGCAAAAAGAATTGGGACAAAAGTGGCAAAACGAAGTCGAAGGTTTGCCACACACGTCACAATGATGCCAAGGACATTCCCACTTCCCTGCAACGGAGCAGAAAACATTAGCAGGTGTCAATGATGGAACCGCACTGTTCAACACTGTCATAGCGTAGTGGGTACGAATCGGGCTGCGAACCTCAAGGTCAGCAGTTCGAAACTACCAGCTGTTTCGCAGGAGAAAGATGAGGCTTTCTGCTCCCATAAAGATTTACAGCCTCGGAAACCCTGTACAGGGTCGCTATGAGTTGAAATCGACTCCACTGCACATAACCACCAACCACCACCACCACCAATCCAATGATGGATTCCTGGTGTGGCGCTGTGGGTTAATGTGCCAGACTGCAAAGCTGTTTGAACTGCAAGGTCAGCGGTTCAAGCTCACCAGATGCCCCTGGGAAACCCTATACAGGGTCGCTATGGGGCGGCACTTAACAACAACAATCCAATGATGTAAACGAAAACAAGACACTGCTGACCATTCAGGACATGTGCAGGCCAAGGAGGCTGTGTACGGGGACAGCCCTGACCCCACCTCACAGCCCAGGGCTAGGCCTCCCAGGGAGAACACAGTTCACCAGCTCAAACCCTCCACCCTGGCCAACCTCAACTCAGCCTGGGCCCATGGGTCACTCTGGTGGCGTTTCTATGAACACTTATGCCTGCCCCTCTGTTAGGTAGGGCTGACTTTTAACAAGCCCTTTGCAAATACTTGTCTGGCACTTCATTAGGTGTGGGGTTGTCAGCTTCCACCTTCTTGAAATATTGTAATTTTTTATAGACAAACTTATCTTGACTTTTTTTGGGGGTGGGGATCAAGTTTTTGTGCAAGGACGTCTTCATTTTCTTCTGAGATTGCAATGAACAGTTTACACCATTGGCCAAGGTATCTGAACTGGGTGGTGGGTGTCTGATCTGAGCCCACCCACTTCCTCCTGGGGATGAATGGCCAGGCTGTGGTCTCCCATCAGCCAATGACCTGCACGTTTACTTCCCAGACACCAAGGCTGCAGAGAGGATCCTGCAGCCCAGGAGACTTCAGGTGGCTGCTCTGGCAGATGGGCCTGCATCTCTCCCGGTCCACCCTCTGGACTCAATTCCGATACCCCGCATAAACTAACAACACTGGGCTGCTGGGGCAGAGAGAATATTTACTCCCCTGGGCCACGGGCTTTCACACTCCCAAAGGACATCAAGTTTGCGACCTACCAAGTGACCAGGTGAGCTCACAACAGGGAACGCGAACAGGCTGCCACTCACCAAAGGGCCGCTTGCCCAGTCCAAGGCAGGAGAGGTGGTAGGCCTTGGTGCAAAACTTTCGGTCACACAGGACCAGCTGGCCCCCGTCCCCACAGCGGAAGCACTCGTCCTCGGATGCCTTCTTGCCTTCGCCCTTTGTTCTACGTCTTCTGGTTTTCTTCTTGATCTTTTTGCCCTTTTCCTCTGAAGAAAGGGATGTTGAGGTCTAGAATTTAGAATGAGATCCAGTTACCGTAAAGGACAGAATGGCACTGCCTGGAGCAGTAATGGAGGGCAAAACTACCCCACGTGAGTGCAAGACCAAAGTGGAGGGGCAGAAATCGCAGACGCTGGAGACATTCTAACATGGAAAGAAGAGGGGGCTCTCAGCACTTCGGGGCACGGGGTCCAAGCCCGTCGGGCGCTCAAGAGGTGTTTTCTTAGTCGCAGAGTGCCGAGCACAGCAGAGAACAAACACAAATATTTCTGACATCCAGTGCCATGGGCAGCCACCCACACCACGTGGTGCACCCTGAGTCCTGGGAGACCTCAGCATCAAAGGTGACAGACCAACATGACCCCCTCGGCTGAAGCAGCAATGACTTGAAAAGCATCATGACAAGGTCCAGGGACAGACACCCAAGAGACATTCCTCTTATGGCATAGATGGGGCCATTCCTGAATGTCTCCTGGCGGGGTGTGTCGAGCACAGAAGTCTGAGCACTGGGCTGGGACCAAGAGAGGTCTGCCAACTGCCCCGGGCGCAGCCCAGCCCCCAATCTTCACCTCTACACTGTGGACTGATCCCTGTCTGTCACTAGAGAAGCTACTTGCTGTGCCAACTGTGCAAACCAGGCCCAACGGAGAGTCACCCCCAACACCCACGGTGTGGTAGAAAACGAACCCACTCCCCACAACAGCCTCCTACCCAAAACTCAGCCTCCCTCCCCTGGCCAATCTACACCCAGCTGCTGCCTAAAGCCCTCGCTTTTATCCCCAGCCAGTGGGGGCCAGGTCAGTGGGCACTGACCTCCCTTCTCCTCTCATCCACACTCAGTGTGGGTCAGATCAGTGAGTACCAAGCCCTCTCCCCCTCCCCACGCCCCCTGCCAGCCCAGCCCCTTCTCTCTCAGCCTCATCAGATAAAGTGCCTGCCCCAGGCCTCCTCCTGCAGGGCGCAGGAGTTTCTAAGGTCCCATCATCTGGTGCAGTGGCTCTCACCCCACACAAGCAGTCTCAGCGCAGACTCCATGACCCCCCCCAGGGAGGCATTAGCCCCCCTGAGAGCAGATCCTTGCTCTCTGAGCCAGAAGCTCCAAGGAGCCTCCAGCTTGCACAGCTTTTACTGGCCTTCCTTGTGGCCTGAGGCTCAGTCAGCATCGGCCCAGGTGGTCCCTCCTGGCCTGGTCAGTCCCGGCCACTGACCTCAGGTGGACGGGCTCTCAGGACCAGGACCAAAGGTCAGACTACCCCACACTCCACCCACGGCACCAAGTCCCCTAGGAGGCAGCCACTTCCACTGCCTGTCTACAGATGAAGCAGTAAAGATGTACCTTTGGCCGATCCCCCAGAAATCCACTGCAGTTGGAGGCTCCACACCGACAGACGGTCTTCTCATTGCCCAGACAGTCAAGGTTATAATTAAAGGTCAGCTCTGTCCCTGGGGAGGTGGGGGACATAAGGTATGGTAAAGCACTGAACTTCCTTTGACAAAAACCAAAGAAGCAGGTGTCTGATGGTGCCGTGGTCAAGTGCCCAGGCGCAAAATGAAAAGTCGGCAGTTTGAGGCTGCAGCCACTCCTCTGGAGGCAGAGATGGCAGCCTGCTGTCTTGGAAAGACTCAGCCTCAGGTGCCCTAGGGAGCAGCTCCACTCTGGGAGTTTGCCAGGGAGACACTGGGTACCATAGCTTCTCCAGTCTGCTTTGTAAAGCTGAGACTCAAAAACCAGGATGAAGGCTCCTGAGACCTGCCTGCCCGCAGCCTTTCTGGTCTGGCTGCATGGGGCGCTGGCAGTGGGGGCCCCAGGCTGTGGTACCTGCAGGAATGTCGCACACAGCAAACAGGCCCACTCGTGTATCGCCATTCACTGTCCACTTGAGGGTCTCACAGTTGGGCTGGCAGCTGTGGTTCATGAAGCGCGAGTAGTTTCCTTTGGGGCCAGCATCGATTATACGGTCCTGCAAAGGGAGAAGCCAGGTTCAAACCACACTGACCGCCCGAGTACCAGCACTTTAAAAGAGGACTTTAAAAGTGCAATTGTCAGAAGACACAAGTTGCTTGTAGTACTGAAAACGATGGTGTCCCGTGGTCACTTCGACAAGACACCCCCAAACCAGTCCCGTTTCTCTTGCTCGCTGTGGGCAGGTCGATACCACGTGGAAAGGACCGAGCCGTGGTGAGCATCGGTGAGGGGAGGACAGGGAAGCGACCTGCCTACCCATCACATGTGATTGCTGACGAGTGCTCACAGCCCACAGGAAACTCTCAGACAAGAGCAAGACCATGAACCCAATCACAAGTGGGCAGAGACATACAGAATTCCCCAAAGGAGATGCAAGATGTTCATCAAATTCCTAAGCAGTTAAGGAAATGAAAAGGACAACAGCATCTCACTTTATAGCCCTGACCCTGACAGCTGGACAAGGCAGAGGGCTGGCCCACAGGGCTGGCAGACTGCGCTGAGGACAGTGATGGAGTGACAAAAGACATGTACCTGTCTCCAGAGCCTAGCCCAGCCTTCCACCTGGCGGGTCCCTTCACATCCACAGCCTGGGCAGGCTCCCCATTGGGAAGTGAAAAGAGTGGGCAGACCCATGTACCCCAGTGCCTCAAACCCCCAGGGATATGTGCACTCCTGAGTGGACAGGAAGGACACACACCAGGGCAATGGGGAGACACTTAAAAGGCCACTTGAAGTATCACATTTATGAATTCACAAAAGCATGCATGTGGGTTGTTAGGTGCCATCGAGTTGGTTCCGACTCATAGTAACCCTACTCACTACAGAAGGAAACACTGCTCAGGCCTGTACCACCCTCACAATTGTACATGAGTGAGATTAGGGGCATCTTGAACATGTAGCTCACATGGGTCCAACAGCACCATGCTAAAGGCTGACTGGGCTGGAACAGCCATCCGACAAGCACAGGTGTACGCTCGAGTTTTATGCACCGTGCTTCGAGCCCCCTTGGCGGGCGTCCCTGGCCTGCTGTGGGTGACAGGTGGTGCTGACTTGTCCCTGAGAGGAAAGCAGTGGACTGTGCGGCTCCCTACCTTGTCTATGGTAAGCATGTAGAAGTGGGTGATGTCGTTCTCATGAGCATGCTTGATTCTAGCCATGCACTCCTCTTCGTCAATCAGCTCACCCACATACTCGTTCACGAATTCTCCCTGAAAATCAACATGACGACGGTGACGCATCTCCTGAGCCACTCTCAGTGTCCCAGCATCAGGACCAACCAGAATGCGGCTCATATAAATAACACCATCAGAGTGCATAGGTGAAGTGAACTTAAATGACGTTATACATTTTTTTTTTTAACAAATAAAAGTTGTCAATGAAAACTACATGCACGTATGCCTGAAGCAGCCACATTCTGGCCCTTGGTTCCGACATTCCTGGTCTCCTGAAAGCCCTGCGTGAGATTCCCTAAATCACGGGTCAGATGTCCACATCCCATGGAGAGATAAGGATGGGGAAGAATTAGACTAGAAAGCGAAACGGACCGGATCTACCAACAACACAGGTAGGTGGATGAACAGAGCTGGCTGGGCCTGTCTGACTCAAGGCAGTCTCCGGCCGGCACTGACGAGAGGGACATCTGAGGTTCGTTCTCCCTCGCCTATGCTGCCCTGGCCCTAGCTGCAGAGTAGGCTGCAAACAAACAAGTCAGTGTACGTTGTCTCCAGGCACAACGGGCTTAACCTGACCAGGAAGGGCCACATCTGAGCCCGCATGTTCTGGCCTACCTGGGACTGTCCTTCTCATTCTGGCCTGTTTGCTATATCATCCTGGTTAAGAAAAATGGTTCCTTTTCAATCTGCCTTTTCCTAAAGGAGACCTCAAAATTCTAAGGCCACGTTTTAAGACACTTAAATTATATACTTTGATCGATGTGTCACTTAACCTATTGTTTTACAACATTCAGTAGTTTTTTTAAAAAGACCATCTGACATGAACACAAACACACAATATACAAATCCAAGTGGCTAAATACTTAATTGAACCACAGTGTCTTAATGGGTGGAGGAAGCCCACCACAGCCCACCTTTTTAATATCCCTCTTGGCAACCAGGCCCCAGCCTTTGCCATCCGTCTTGATGATCTTGGTCTCGGGGTACTGGCGCTTGGTAAAACACTGATTCTGACAGTACTCGCCCGCAGGGCACACCTGGGGGTGGCACTCAAACATCAGCATTCGGTTCAAACACTCGGAGTCAAAGCCGCAAGGGTTTTCATCTGTGGGCTTACAGTTACACTTAGGAATTTCAGAAATATCAGCGGTATAGATTTGCACTTTCCCATACGGCTTATTCACCTGCAAGAGAAAAAAATACGTTGCCGTCACCCGCACACCACATGCAGAGCTCCTAGGGCTTCTTTATACCAGCCCAGTCCCGCCCAACCCAGCACCTTGTCCATTCAGGAGGTTTCTAAGCATCACAGCCCAGGTGGGACACTGGGGTGGGGACATGTTTCATGAGAACAGCCCCTCACCCAGTCCTGGCAGCAGCTCCTCTCTGCCCGCTTAGCACAGGTGTGCTGGGGCAGCCCTGGTCTGGGGGACTTTAGCTTAGCTTAGTGTGTACGACCCTCACATAGGTAAGACTGCAGAGGAAGTGTGGGCAAGTACACACTGCCCAGGCGCCCAGCAAACACTTGGTGGGCCCCAAGGACAGCACAGGGTGGGAAGGCCCACTCCCACCATGTGAAGCCTGCAGCTTAAGACTGTTGTTGTTGTTGGTATGTGCCGTGGAGTCGGTTCCGACTCATAGCAACCCTGTACAGGGTTTCCGAGGCTGTAAATCTTTACGGGAGCAGAAAGCCTCATCTTTCTCCCACAGAAAACAGCTGGTAGTTTCAAACTGCTGACCTTGCAGCTCGCAGCCCGATTCGTAACCACTATGCTACCAGAGCTCCTCGCAGCTTAAGACTACAGGAAGTAAAAAGAGTGGAGAGAATTTCAACAAACAACTACAGCGGAAACAGGTCATTCTAAGATGTGGTCAAAGATGCCCTCCTCACTGTTGGTATGCAAACTGATGCAGCCCTTAAGAGAATAATCTAGAAATGAGTCTCAAGAGTCCAAAACCACAGGCCTGGAACTGAACTCACCCTCATGGCTCAACTTTCAGGCAAACGTTAGACATGCCTATAAGGTGAATAGTAACCGCAGGGAGGTACCACACAGCCTTAGACCAACCAATCATACATAGGGACTTGAGAGGGCAGCATTTGCCCAAATACAAATCGCAGAAGGCAGGAAGAAATAGGAAAGAACAAATAAAACTGGGAAACACAGGGAGGAAGTGAGAACAACGCTGTTACATTGTGAGGATTACGAATCAATGTCACGAATCAAACTGTATCATAACTGTTGGATAGAAAACCAACTTACTCTATAAACTTTCATCCAAATAACAATAAAAAGGTTTTAAAAAAAAAAAATAAGTCTACAAATACTCATGCTCTCTGACTCAATAATTCCATTTCTAAGACTCCATCCCAAAAGTCTTACACCCGGGTCCTCACCGTGGCCCTAGTTGGGAGAGCAAAGCCCGCTGCGCTAAGGACTGGGGTGTGGAGCCCGGACACAGCAGTGTGGGACTCTAGCTGCAGCTGCCTGTGAAGAGCCAGGTAACCATGATGACGAGGGGAACACAGACTTCCATGAGAGTGGGAAGCCAGGGGCACCTGTCTTTTGAGATGGGAGCTCACTTGTCTCTTTCCCTCCCTCCTCTTCTACTCTGTACCAGTCACCAGCCCAAGGCCTGTACACAACTGTCCAAAAAGCAATCAGGCACCCATCTTCCCCCGACGCTGGTCTCCAGCACCCAGTGACCAGTCCCTGTTGCTCCAGGTGGCCAGGCCCGTACTGTCGTTCCATACTGCATGGAATCAGATCATGTCTCTCGCTTCAAAGCAAAACCCCTGACTGCCTCCCTGGCCTCTGCCCCACAGACAGTGCAGTGCTGTTTGTCTGCACCTGCCCAGGCTTCTGGGGTCTCTCACTGGCACGGCCTGGGGAAGCAGAGCTTGCCTGCCTAGCTCCGTGTACAATCCAGTACTTCCCAACGTCACCTTAATGTGCTTGTATGGTGGGGGTTTGCGCTCACTCTCCTGGGTCTCTCGGGCTTCCCTCTGGAGTCTGATTTCACGAAAACGAGCTTCAGCTTCTTGAAGTGCTAAACCATCAATGAGATACTAGTAAGAATTTTAATCAATAAATACAGCTACCTGAAGAACTATTTTTAATAGATTATTTTAAATTTTCATTTCACTATAAATGTTTTTCTTATTTCCACGGATTCATTTTCAGTGCTATGAGATGTTTTAAATAGAACAATGCTCAAAGCGCCCTCAGCAGCTGGTGGGCACCAGCCTGGTGGTGATTCCCCAGGGGCAGGTTTCTGCGGCATTGGGGTTCCCTAGAGTTCCCCATCCTCCACTGGGATTTTAGGACCAAGTACTAGGCATTTACTTGGGAATCACTATCCTAAAATAGAAAACAAAAACATAATTTCACTCTGCTTAAAGAGGAAGAGGTCCCTGTGAAGTGAACAAGTGGTTCAAGCCAAAACCAGTCAGCGACTTCCATCTCCTGAAAGGTGGGCATCAGTGGGGGCCCACCCTGCAGGCCAAAGCAGACGGCTCTACAGGACCCCAGACCAGCAGGCTGCAGACTGGTTAAGGCTGGACTTCACTGCTTCCAGCCAACAATAGCAGGGGACAGACACACTCGTCTAGCTCTTTGTTCCCCTCACTCTGCCTGGACATCTCCTGAAGCTAACTGGTTCTTGTTTATTGCCACCTTTGTGCTAAGGACTGAGACAGGCCCACTCCCACCATGAGCTGGCCTCTTTTTCATGACAAAGCATCACTCTCCCTTAGTGGCAGGTGTGCTGCAGCTCCCCATTGCCCAGCTGGCCACATCACACTGTCCTCTCTGCCCCTACCTGTCTACACCTAGCATCAAGTGAGGCCCCTGGCTCTTGATCCGAGTCTGGTGAACGTTACGTTGAGGGACAAACGAGCCCTGGTATCCAAGTTCTACAGAGCAGAAGGAGGCCCCAAGGTCTCCGTCTACGTGAGCGCAAACTCGGAAACCGTCAGTGAATTCACACTCAGAACAGTTTCTTAAAACTTAACGCGCTTTCAAGTTAGTCACAAACCAGTATTATAAGTTAGCCATAAGTATGCTTTGCCTCAACAAATCCATCTACAAACTTAGTTTATTCTCATTTAAAAGCACAAATGGAATGGTTACTCTAGTAATTTCTACAGAGATCACATTTTCAAAAGCCAAAAGTAAGGATTAACAAACTGTACCCAGAGAGCACTTTTTCATTTTCTTTGTGGAAAACTCTATATATTTTCTATCTCTGTACCGTTTTTGAAGACTTTTCCAATTCCTTTAATTCCTTGGTATCTGCTGCCCCGATCACCCTCCATGTACGGGAACACTCGTGCCTGATGTGTCCAGTAATAATCTTTAGACCCAAAGAAAAACACAGGAAATTCTCCAATCTCGTGCTTCATTTTCTGAATATTTGGGGGGACATTTTTGGGATGGCAAACTTCTGCCGGCCACCATCTATTATAAATATTAAAAACAGGGTTCACAGACTCTTCAGAGACAGCAGCAATCACTTCATTACTTTAACTACTTTAATCTAGAGTGAACTGAACACATGTTAACAAGAGAAGACAGAGCACTAAGCATATGAGTGTAAGTCTCACACCTGTAGTTCCCAAGTTTAACCCAAATGATGTCCTGGAAGTGTAGCTTCTTGCCAGCCCGGCAGTCATTGCAGAACCAGCTCCCATCAGGCATCTCGATGTTCAGGCAATCAGGGTGGAAGGCTGCCGGGCAGGACTCACAGCATAGAAGGCTCCCCCCTGCAAAAGAGGACAGGCTTAGCACTAGCCCACCCCAGGGACACCAGGTGTACCTGCTCCCACATAACAACCACTACACCCCTGAATCATACCCAGGATTCTGTAACTCTCATGTGCTGGGTTAATACAAAGGCCAATGCAACTTTCCCCATCATCGTTTCCCAGAATTCCCTAAAACAATCATGGTTAACTGAGCAATATTCCGATAAACTACTAAATGTGAAACTATGGAAAACATCATTAATCGCAACCAACAGAGTCTAGATGAGGACTGGCGCCACTACCAGAGATTTGTGAGCTAAAAAGCAGCTGTAAACAGCATGCTACCCAGTCAAGGTGGTCAAGCTGTGTGCCACGGAGTGAGTGACGTACTACACAGATACCCACCACAGGGCCTCACCTTTGGAGCACACAAAACACCAGCTCACGTTGACATGTGAGTGGTGCCTCTTCCCCTTCCGGGCAGTGAAATGACCCGTGCAGATGATGCTGTTGGATGCAATCACTGAACACCCCGCTGCCAAGCAAGCGTCCCCTCCATGGTAGGCAACGGGGCAACGAACACACCGCATCATTTTACCTGGAAGTAGACACAGATGCTGTAAAAGGCCCCACCAGAGAATCTTTAAAAGCATGCTGATCCCATTACAGTGAACAAGACCACTGGCAGTTACTAAGTCACTAGAGATTTGTAAAGTTAGTACTGCAGTAAGTCTGAGAACCTGAGGGAAAAAATATCAAGGATGGGAAGGGCAAAGTACATTTGATAGATGTCATGAGAGTATATATTTCCTCAAGACAAAAGCGCTGCAAAGAAACATAAGTAAAAAGTCAAACGTTCTAAAATAAGTCAGTGTTTCTCAGCTTGGCCACTACTGATACTTCAGGTTAGAACATTCTTTGTAGGTCTGTGCAACACAGGAGGTTTAAAAGCATGTCTGGTCTCTACTAGATGCCAGCTCTTGTTGTTAAGTGCCATTGAGTTCTGACTCACAGTAACTCTTTACAGGGTTTCTGAGGAGTGGCTGGTGAGTTTGAAGCACTACCGACCTTGTGGTTAGCAGTTCAGTGCTTATCATACAGCGCCACACTAGAACTTTCTAGGTGCCAGAAGATGCTCCCAAAATATCTGCAGACATTGCTAGGTGTCCCTTGGAGGGCAAACTAGCCTCTAGTTAAAACCACTGTGTCAAGATAACCTACCCTGCTCAATGTCACACACCCAACACCAAATAATGCAGATGTTATTTGATTTTAAAACGCTTTACTTACACATAAAATAACCATTAAAACCAGAAAAATGCATTATATAAAGGTCCCCTATTCTCTAAATGAAGGATCTTTACAGTGGTATTTGAGGAGAATGGGGCAGGCAGGGGTAGGTCCTTTGGTAAAGAGCAACACGAAGCCAGTCTGTGTTAAGTCAGTAACCGAAAACAACTGTTAACTCTAGAGCCAAACTGAAGCTGAGCTCCTCTGCGACCACCCAGCCACTTAGCTACCATGCCCACCCCTGCAAAGAGCCTATGTAACTGCATTTACACAAATACTGATGTTGTCAAAGGTTCACCTCTACCTTTGGATGGTCTTGGATTTGAAGGGTTTGATACATGGCAGGTCACACAAGTGTGGAGAGGACAACGAAATCCCCGACTTTCAAATACAGTAAGAGGGTATTTTCTCACACAAGCTTCATGGTAAAATTTTCCACACTGAGACACGACACAGCGTTTAACATCTGTCTTGTTCTCCTTACACACGAAACACGAGTGAATCCCTAACGAAGGGTTAAAGAAAGGGGGAGAGAGAGAGAGAAATGCAAAGACGAATTAAACTGCAGTTCCTAAAACCCTAGTCTCGAGCAGCTCTTTCTGAGGAAGCCCGTGTTGCTAAAGCGACTGGCTCTATTTCCAACCTTGCTGACTAGTCCCAGCATTCTTCAGAAAAAAATCCAGCCATCAAGGGTTACCTTGCTGCGGTTTGAGCTCCAGCTTCACCTGAAATACAGGAAAGTCTTACTACTCAGACTGGCAGGGGCCGGCGCACACTCATCAGCGCGAAGCTTGAAGAACGGGACCCCGCCTCTGAAAAAAGACCTTTCTCTACTCCTCACCTGGGAGCAGCTCACCAATGATGGCAAGGGACCATTTGTAAGGAGTGAAAACTCACTTATCATTAGAGGCAATCGGAGCACCCATACGGGAGGTGTTTTTTTAGTATACCACCTTGGTTTAGAGGAATTCTCTTAGACCCCAGATGCCTTCTGATGCCAGGGCAGTTTCAGTGAGAATCAGGAGGACTTCTCAGGCCCACTGGAGACAGATATGGCCACAGTTGGCGTCTATCTGCCCAGCGTTCACCTCACTATGCCAAGGGAGACCTTGGATATAGGAATGTGGCTGGAGAACGAAAACAGCACTCAGCAGGAGTCTGATCTGTGGCTGAAGCTCAGATACACAAGGCATGTTTGTAAACATGCTAGCATTCTGTGATGATTGAATGGGCTGGGAGGGAGTATGGGGCCCTAGAGTCTAGGCAGAGGTAACTATCCTCACTTCCATGTAGTGGCTGTGTGTCTGACGGCTGCCTCACAGACACAACCCCGGGGTCCAGGGGGTCACAGGCCGAGGCAGCTGCAGTCAGTTTAACGCAGGTCCTCACACTCCAAGCCCTACTAGCTGCCCCGTCGCCTCACACTGAGCTGACCTGCTAGGGGCACTAGCACACGAAGAAAAGGGACTAAGGAAGAAAACCCAAGCACCACTGCAGAGTGGGAAAGCCTACGGTGCAGGGCTATGTGCTCCTGGGAGACTGAGCATGGAGGGATCTGCTAATACCTCAGGTCTGTGGCAGGAAGGAAGCAGCAGACATTTCTGTGAACGGAGACTAAAGCACTCCACGTGGGGAGCTGGGGGAGACGCTACTGAGGCCCAAAATGACGGCTCACAGTCAGCTATCTCCTCTTGGGAAAGGACCCTGAAAGCAAGAGCAGAACTTGCCTGAAGCACATTCATTGCAGGTGAACCTCCCTTCCGGTCTCCGGGAAAGCCCGAGGCAGGAAAGGTGGAAAGCCCCGCAGCAGGGACCCTCACACAACAAGAGGCTGCCGGTCTTCTCACACAGCTGTGGGGACAGAAGAGACGGGTCAGTGACAGGTCATATGGCTTCCTCTTACTTACTACAAGGGAGATGGCTTCATCCATCCGTCTACAGCAATGCATGTCCCAGCTCAGCTACTCACAGAAACAGACTGACATTGCTCCAGCCTGCACAGAGCCCACAGGGAGGACAGCATCACATTAAAGAGTGACTACACAGGAAACAGACCTAAAGCCCCAAGGATGCATTTAAGATGCTTCCAATTAGATCTGAGAATTATGAGAATCCATGGCACACTGTCATCAGATAGCAAAGCTATCCAAAAACAGCTACTGGTGTCAAGCTCCCTGTGTGGACACTATCTAGCATTTTACACAGGCTGATGGGACTTTCGGGAGACCTGTGTGGGGCACAGAAAGGCAAAGTGACCTGCCTAAGGTCTTAGTGTGAGAACACAGCAGAACCAGAACACTGGCCCAGATCCTAACCACTACACACAGCAGCCTTCCCAACAGGGACCAGACCCCTAATGTGGGGCACAGATCTAGCGATGGCTATCTCAACCCATAAGCCCATGCCAGTCAGCCAGTCTGCCTGCTGTCCATGCCGGCAGGAACACACCATACCACTGCTAGCTTGCACCTCATCTCTTCCAACCACACTCTTTCTGTGTACTTTTACAAGCACAGAGGTGTGTGTGTGTATGATGTTGTTGTTATGTGCCGTGGAGTTGGTTCCAACTCACAGCGGCCCTGTACAGGGTTTCTGAGGCTGTAAATCTTTACGGGAGCAGAAAGCCTCATCTTTCTCCCATAGAACAGCTGGTAGTTTCCAACTGCTGACCCTGAGGTCAGTGGTGGGCAGCATAATGCAAAGGTTCTACCGGTAGCTGAATCCCTTCTAAACAAGCTCAGGAAGCGGGTGGCTGGGGGACGTCTAGTGGGAAAAGCAATACACCGCTTCACCCCATACCCCAAGCAGATGCCCATTACCCGGCGACAACCTGTGCACTCACCTGGCACACATACTCCTTTTTGGCTGTCACTCCTCGTTCGGACTTCTTAGACGACACGGACACTTCGGTCTGTGTTTCATCTGCACTTTCATAGGGGGACTCCGAGGGCTCGTCTCCAGCGCCATCTGAGACCTGGAGGTGAAGGACGTGGGAGACAGTTGAGTCGTGGCGAGCAGCGGGCATGACACAGCCTCAGACACACACTCTTCATCCCTAGCTATTTTCTGTGTATGGACAGCCTATACAATTTGTCAGCTAAGCTGTGTAGGGACCTCAACAATGAACTTCATTCTGTTTCTTATTTAGTGCCTATATGGATAGGAAAGCGTGGGATTCCTTGAAAATGAATGTACTCTGATGAATACCCAATTTGTTCTAGGCTGCTTTCCAAATTGAGAATTGACTTTTCTTATCCAATCTCTTCAGGTTCAACTACCTGAAGGGAAGGGAAGCATGTTATAGCCAACTACCTGACAGGAGGAAGCACAGTGCTTCCTAGGCAGAATGGAAACTGAGCTGTCTCCAAAGGCACCCCACAGTCTAGAGCACCGGCCCAAAGGGGTCAGGCCTGGGGCCCCAGCCTCCCCACAGCTGGAGTCAGAGCTGCCTTGCTTTCCTTTTCTCTCCCAGTGCCTACTTGTTTATCGACAGCTCACACACACCTCACTCGCTCTGCCTCATCAGAGAGGTGAGGTAGAAAAGGCAAGGTGACCGACATCTGCCGACTTTGGTACCATTTGAATTAAGTGAAGGCCTAGGAGAAAGACAGGGGCTCCTGGCACAAATGCAGTGTCTTGCCAGTGGGAGGGATTTCCTTTCTTTCATATTTTCCTCCATTTCAGAGAGATTAAGCCTGAGCTATCCCTCAACCTCACGTGCCCTGAAGCAGTATTGATAGATGTTCAGTAAAATAGAAAAAAAAACCTCATCTATCAATCTCGGCGTACTCTTAAAAAAACACCACCACAAAACTAAAGACATGCTTGGTTTTCAATTGCTATTAAGCCTTGACAATCAATGAGGAGAACTGAATTTTGGAGATAGAAAGAGAGTGAAAGAATACACTACATCTCCTAAACACCTTAACAACCACAACAAACCTAGAAACTAAAATTGGGCTACATATATATTAAAAACAAAAAACAAAAAACAAAAAAAAAAAACACACAACAAAATCCATCAGCTAGTCCAACCAACTCTAAGGCCGTATCAGTGAGGTTCTTTCATGAAAATGACAGAAAGCTATAGGGAAAAAACCATCGACACAGGAGGTTGCGTGTTACAATGGGCTTTGCCGTCTGTCTCGCTGTCCCCTCCTCTCACCTGTCCAGCTGTCCTCAACCTCACTTCTCTTAGGTGGCCAACAGTAAGGAGCTGGCATCTCCATAGCCCTCTCTTGATTCTCACTGGCCCCAGGTGGCTAGTGGGCTCGTCCTAGACCTGCTTCTTTTGGGCATCTGACACACTACTTAGTAACACAAGGTCTTAAGGAAGCATGGCCCTTTCAAATGGATCTGCTCACCTTTGCCAGACAGTGAGGGATCACAGCATTACTACGCACTGCACTACAGCAGGATCGCCTGTGGGTTCAGGTTCTGCCACTGTGAGGCGAGCTAGACAGAACCGTGGGGGTCCACAGCCCCCACCCACCCACCCACCCACCAGCTTGCCTACTATAATTTTGGAAAGAATAGTAGAAAGAAGGAAACCTGAAGCAATGCTCTGAGTTCAACCCCCAAATCTAGCACGCCCACCAAGTAAGGAGTCAAGGGTAGGTGGTGAGCACTTCTCAGGTGAGCCTGGAGGGAGCGCTCAGGGAGCCCCGGAGCATCAGGAGGCCGCACTGTTGGGCAGGGGCCCTGCTCCTCGAGCAGTCCACATGGCTGCCCACAGCTGAGCCTGATGAGACAGACCGAGGCGCAAGGAAGGCGGTCTTCAACAGGGGCTCGAGTGGGGCTCACCCAGGGCTCTACCCACCAACCCATGTTCTTCCCTCAATGTGGCTGGAGCAAAATGAAAAGCTAAAACAAGGGGGGAAAAAATGCATGGAGAGAAAGACAGAAAACACAGACCAGTCCTGGGTCAGAGGAAGGAACAGCACCTTTTATTTAAGATTTACAGAAAAAGTTAGCACGTTTCCACTTGGAGATATTTCCTAAGTTAACAAAGTCTGTTTTGAGAAAATAAACACTGAGTACATATTTTGAGTGGAAATATAAATGTCAAAGACACACATGAGGCTAGTTTCCTGGTTGGGGTCTGAGATATACATACAGAATAATATATGTGTGAAGAAGCCTTACAATGGTACAGTCCGTGACACATCAATGGCAGCATATTCTGACTTCATCCCACCACACCCCTTTCGGCTACTAAACAGACAACTAGCACACAGTCGGGATCCAATGGCTCTCCACCCAGCCAGCCACCCACAGGGAGAGCCACGTGCGCCAAGAGGGACGTCAACACAAGCGTGCCTTTACTCCAGTCGCAGACTCCACCTTCACATGCACCAGGTGACGTTACTTACTCCGAGATGCCATTTGTGAACGCGACAAATTCACCTTTATGGTCCCATCAACACAGTCTCAAATCTCAGTATACGACATTTATGATCTATTCCAGATCCAATAGGATGCATTTGGAAAAAGAAAAATGAGGTAACTGAACGGACACAAGGCTGTTAGAAAACTCCGCGTTGCTTTCTACAGTATCATAGCCACTCTGTGGACCTGATTTCTAAGCAGCTTTGTTCCTGACATTTGGAAAATGTGCTTGCATCTGAGAACACTGTCTCTGCTCTCTGCTCACCTTGTTCTGAGTAGGGAATCGCCTGCCTATTTGCCTCAGACATATGTGACTTTAGGGGCAGGGAATGTCACGTCCTTAACCCATATTCTTGTTGGTGTGCGCCTCTGAGTTGACGCAACTCCCAGCAACCCTGTAGGATGCAGCAGAACTGCCCCAGAGGGCTTCCTTAGGCTGTCATCTTTACAGGGGTAGACAGCCACAGCTTTCTCCTGGGGAGCAGCTGGAGGGTTTGAACCATCAACCTTTCAGCTAGCAGCCAAGCACTACATCACTGCACCACCAGGGCTCCTGTAACACAGAGGGGCCTTTCCCAATGCCATGACAGAGTGTAGTGTGACCTGGTGGGAACATCTGGGCCACTTCCTGGGGTCGGGGCAGGCACTCATAGTGCCATGCCCCACGGAGAGGTCAGGTCCTCCCCGCTGTGACTGGAAAGCAGTCCCTTACACTCTGAGAGTGTCAGCCACATGGAATTGAACTTGTTGACAACACAGAACCCTTCACAAGTTGAGTACGACATCAATTTTGAAATACAATTACAGACCTTGAACAATAAATATTTCTATATACCAACATTGTTATTTTCATGGTTTAGGTATGTTTTCATAAGGAGGAAATTGTTAACTAGAAATACGTTGACACAGTGTTTTGGGTTTACAGATAGTAAGAATCTTGTGCTCAGTAAAGTTAATATCAAATAATCTCAAAAAATCTTCCGAGTTACCATCACAGTGAACTAATAAAGTAGAGTCCATTCTTAAGTAAGCTATCCACCACCTGAAATACTACAGTTTATGGTCAGTTTCATAAGAACCTTCCAGGACACCCAGACTAGACCCTTCCCAGCTGCCCCTCATTTCTAGGGTTAAGAGAGGTCTGTGTCATTGGGAGCGTTAGAAACCTTCAGTTCATAGACATGACATTGTGCTTCACATGTGAGTTCATTTCCTAACCTATGCAGTCTCCTGGGTAGTCAAACCCCTTCCTCTAGGAGGGTGGCAGTGAGAACCAGCCGGTCAATAGATGTGCCCAGTCATAGCACGAGGCTCTGCTTCTGATTTCATGACTTGTCCCCACCAAGGTAAATAAAACGAGTCTCTAAAATGCTCTAACAATCCAACTGTGCCCCAAACAGTGGCTGACCCTTGGGGAGGGGTCTGGGAAACAGGAGGGAAACCGCCTAACCTAACCATCTACTTGCTGTCAGAACTGCCTGGCGTGGAGCACATATGCCTTCCCACTGAGGGATGGCCGAGGCCTCTCCCCTCACCTCTACCTCATTTCTTTAAGAGAAAGTACGCTGGATGGCTACCATGCTTCTAAATATATGACAAAAAGCTGTGAGAAAAAAGGGCTAACCAAAATAGGCAACAAAAATGAGGAATTTGGATCTAAAATGTAACATTTCATTACAAAGAATTTAAGTAAAGGAGGTTCATCCACTGTGCCTGAGCCCTAGAGTCCAACCTCAATGGTGAGAATGCACGGCCCTCACCCTAAGAACACGAGCCAGATGATAACAGGAAATGGGATTTTCTACCTGCTATGAACAGTCTCTTTCCCAACACTGCAGGGGCAACGAGTGGTAACTTCTAGCATTCCAGGTAAAACATTAAAAACAAACTAAAGGGATCAAAATCAATTTCACTGACAAAAAAAAATCGTAAAATACGCAAGAATCAGTATACATCTTTGGGGAGGAAAGAAATGCTAAGAGCAAATAAGAAAGCAGTAACGGATCTGAACATATTTCTAGAATCCTTTTCCAATGAGACAGACTCCCATTCAGATTCAAGAGCACTTCTCAGCAGTACCTTTTTCTATCAGAAAACAAACTGGTGATGGATCGATTGGCTTTTACAGCACACAAAGCTACAGTTTCTCACGAATTTGAAAGGGTTCTCAAACGGTGCTGGTGCATAGCTCTGTATGGCCAGAAAAGAACTTCAAAATAGATTCATCATTTTAAAAGGCTGGGTGTGCTGGAGATAGGTGTTACGTTACAAGTCAAATGAGAAAGAAATGCAGCAAATGTGCCACGGTTATGGTGTTCCTATTTCCAGCTGTCACTGTTGAGCAAAAGTCCTGCCAGGGGAAGAGAAGTCTCAGTTTGAAACCAAGCTTCCTGGTCCACCTCAGGCCCATCTGGAGAATCATCTTTTCCAAGCGGTTTTACATAAATCATCAAAGCATCACTCACTAAGCTCTCCTCCTTTCATCCAATGGATCAAAGAAGTAAAGGGCTCTCCTCCATGAGAAGTGTTTCCACTGTTGCATCATTATGGAATGCTGGGTAAAATCACAACTCGCAGTTTTATCAC